AGTCAGTGAGCTCTGCATAACGCAAACAGCAAAGGCACTACCCCACGCAAGAGTGCTCAACTGCTACAAGAGCAGGAGCGATGTATGTATGTATGTATGTATGTATGGAAGCCATAAGATGTTGAATCTAAATAATAATAAATAAATATAAATGTACGTATGTACAGTGCTGGCAACTGAAATCCGACCCCCTTGCCGGCGCTGCCAAGGGGGTCGGATTTCAGTTGCTAGCACTGTATGTATGCATGTATGTACACTAAGAGAGAGAGAGAGAGAGAGAGAGAGAGAGAGAGAGAGAGAGAGAGAGAGAGAGAGAGAGAGAGAGAGAGAGAGAGAGAGAGAGAGAGAGAGAGAGAGAGAGAGAGAGAGAGAGAGAGAGAGAGAGAGAGAGAGAGGGAGGGAGGGAGGGAGGGAGGGATGGAGGGAGGGAGAGAGGGAGAGAGGGAGGGAGAGAGAGAGAGATAGAGAGAAGGAGAGAGAGGGAGAGAGGGAGGGAGGGAGGGATGGAGGGAGGGAGAGAGGGAGAGAGGGAGGGAGAGATAGAGAGATAGAGAGAGGGAGAGAGAGAGAGAGGGAGAGAGAGAGAGAGAGAGAGGGAGGGAGGGAGGGAGGGAGAGAGGGAGGGAGAGAGAGAGAGGGAGGGAGAGAGAGACAGGAGAGAGAGAGAGAGAGGAGAGAGAGAGAGAAAGGGAGAGAGAGAGAGAGAGAAGAAGTTACATTTATAAAGACAGGTAAGTCTAACAAATGAGTTTAACAAGCAGGTTGTCAGTCTAGATTTTATGCGCAGATGGAGAAAAAGCGCAGAATTTTTGTAATGAGATGAAAAGCAGAAATAATAAGAAAAGATGAAATGAAAGCCTGCTCACAACCCCGCCCAGCCTTGCGAACTGGGTATGGTGGATTAAGAACCCGGTTCAACGCTCGAGCAAGCGCTCTCCACTCAAGGTGTTCACAGCAACTGATAGGAACTCATATGGGGAAATTATAGAAAAGAAATAATAAGATAAAGAGAATACATTTCAACGCACCTCAATAAACGGAGCCCCACATACAGTACCTCAGAAAAGTGGATCTTCCGACCAGTGTTTTTGTTGACGTCGCAACCAGATGATGTAGCTGCTTCGCAGAGACGTCTTACTGCACAAATTACAAATAAATTTTCTTCTTCGATTAGAAAACCCAAGCGCTTTCAGAGCCCTCGAAGAGAGTCCGGGATGAAACCACGCACACCTACCTCAACCGAAAAAGAAACGACCTGCCACCCGTTTGCTCGGCATTGATCGGCCAGATCCGCATACCGCCTGTCCTTCCGCGAGTTACTGACACTGAATCTGTCCTCAGCACAAACTGTCAACTCCATCCAGAATACAATCCTACGACTCGTAGAGTACAGAACTATATCTGGTCTTAGGGTGGTAAGTGCAACACAGCTAGGGAAAGAAATCTTTGCACTAACTGAGTCGACAAGAAGTTTCCAGTCTGAGGCCGCTGACAGGAGATCAGTCGTAACCAACTTCCGTCTGGGCTGAACGCGAACTGGCCTTCTCTCCCGCCTTGCAAAACGAGATGAAGTCAAGTTCATTTGAATTTTCGGTTTGTACGGTGTTTGCAGCAGTGCGGAATCGAATCTCCTCACGCATGTTCCTGACGATGACCCCGAGTACGTTGTCGTGCCTCCAGGTGTAACGTCCCTGGTCCAGCGCTACGCGACAAGCGCCAAGCACGTGGCGCGTAGTACAGGCCCAGGCACGGCGCAAACTACAGTACGGATCCACTACGGTGTTTCCCCCAACGGCGTAGGTTCGTCGGAGAAGGT